CGAGGCTGTAAATCTTTATGGGAGCAGAAAACCTCATCTTTCTCCCACAGAAAAATAGTAGTTTTGAACTACTAACCTTGAGGTTATCAGCCCAACTCATAACCACTACGCTACCAGAACTCCTTGTTGAGCTGGGCTGTTGTTGTTAAGTGCCATCGAGTCAGTTCTGACCCATAGCGACCCTATGGGTTTCTGAAGAGCTTACTGGTGAGCTTGAACCACCAACCTCGTAATTCAAACCGACTTTACAGTCCAGAGTATTAACCCACAACTAGTCAATAATTCCACAAGTAAGACTGTAATTATAAACTGTGATAAATACAACCGAGGAGAAATCCTGAGAAAATGTAAGAGAGAGGCTTCCCAAGGATGGGTAGATACTAACTGCTGGACCCAGGGATCGGAGGCACAGAGAGAACCACACAGGCAAAGACCTGGAGGCCGGAGGATATAGCACCTCACCATGTGGCAGGAGCTCAGAGCATGAGACAGGCTGTGAGGCCCAGATGGTGCCTGGTTTGGGAGACCGTGTCCAAGGTTTGCAGCTTTATCATGAGAATAACAGGGGTGAGTGGGATGAGTTGAGTGGGTGATAAGATCTCTTTTATTTTTATTTAATTTTATTTTTTTAAGAAAACTCTCCTGGCTGCATTGTGGAAAACATATTGAAATCAGAGGTCCAGAGACATAAAGAGTTGTTGTAATCGTCCACATGAGGATGAGACAGCCTAAACTCAGAAAGGGGTAATGGAGGGTGGGGATAAGGACCACATGCCAGATGTGTCAAGGAGGAAGAGTAAGCAGGAGTTGGGTGATGGATTGGATGTGGGGAGAAGGGAAGAGATGGCCTCTTATTGGAGAACTGGGGAAAGGCACACACACACACAGAGGCCAGGGTGCACACAAATGTAGATCTACATGCAGATGCATGTAAACACATGCCCACACAAACCCAGCAGTTTACCGACAAGCACACAGAACACACGTAGCTGAGACACACATAGGCCAGGACATATGCAGACACACAGAGAAACATACAAACATACAAATTCACAGACTGATGAGAAAAAATGTAAACACACAGCCCAGACACATTAGCCATGACACGGACCACCACGCCTGAGACATCCATGTGAACCCCCGAGACACTTGCATGGCACCGAGAAGGAGGGACACACAGCTCCCACACAGACACAGGCAGAGACCAGGAGCCCCAGGACAATGGTGGGAAGGTTCTGTGACCCTGGGCAGTCATGCCACCTCTCTGCGTCTCCAGTCATGGTCCCTCCCTCATATGTTATAGTGAAGATGATTTGATTGTATTTCCATCAAATAAAGCACGCAAAGAAGAGTGTCGGCCACGTAGAGATCGCTGTGGCCCCATATACAAGGAAAGAGGCACACTCACCTGCCCCGCCCCCCACCATCAGCGTCTACCCCCAGACACCCTTTTCAGAAGCCCTTGCCTCAGACCTGGCTCTTCTCCATCTTTTTCTTTCCTAGTGCTCTCCTCACCCTTCCCGTCCCCAGAGGCCAAAATCCAAGGGAGTCTGGAGACTGACCGCTATGCGGGACTAAGGACTGGACCCCCAAGCCCAGTTCCCTCAGCTCGGGCCCCTCAGCCTTTACCTCTGCTCCAATCCTTCCCCAGGCCCCAGTGGGCCTGCACTTACCCCAGTGCCCTCTGCCTGGGATTCTTGGTCATTTCTGGCAAGCTCAGCATCCCTTCCTCCCAACTCCACCCAGCCCAGTACCCCAGGAACAGGGCAAAGGGCAGAGGCACTGGAGCCAGGATACCGCGGATCCAGTCCCTTCCCCAGAGCTTTTGCAAGTTCCCGTCTCTGTCAAGCTGTCTTCTCTGACATCTCCAAAAAAGATGCCCACCCATAGATGGGAGACAAACGAGAAGCAATGCCTGTTGACCGAGCCAGCTCACATTGGGCATGTGCCAAACAAGGGCTACAGCAGTCAATTAAACAGACACAAATCCCTACCCACTGGGATCCTGTTAGCTAGTGGGGGAGACAGTTCTTAGGAAAATGGAATTCAAAGATCATGGGATTTGGGGAATGAGGTTTGGAAGCCGCCCTTTCTTAAGTGCTACAGAGAAAAATAACCCAATCTTGTCCATCATCTCAGGGAGGCACATAACAATAGAAATGTGTGCAGAAAATACTTGCACATTTACAAAACAAGCATTGCCTCACCCCAAGCTGGGCAGGAGTCCCAAGTACAGCTTCCAGACGAAGACACCAGCTTCACCCAGTGTCACCTGGCCCAGGTGTTCCACTGTCCTAGCTGCCGAGCTTGAAGCTGCCTCCTGAGGCCTCTGTCCATCTATCTACCCATTCATCTGCCCTGGGGTGGGGCTACTCCTTTCCCATACTTCCATCCACCCCTGTTGCCCCTACTCTGATGCTTCATGCCTTCTCTCCGTCCTTCATCAAGTGTTTGCTGAACACCCACTATGTGCAAGGCCCCATAATGCACCCTGGGTCCACCCCTTACCATCATGGGGATGACGTTGGTGGAGGAAAGACCGAGGGTTCACCTACCGCCATGCAGATCACACAGAGGCCTCAGTGCCTCTCATGTGCACGGCTCCCTTCCAATTTTGTATGTTTTTTTAATGCAGTTTTGTAGTTGTTGAGAATGAATAATTTTGTATTCTTAAGCACTCCACTGTTAACCAAGTGGTTGGTAGTTTGAACACCACCAGCCGCTTGACAGGAGAAAGATGTAGCAATCTGCTCCTGTAAAAATTGCAGTCTCCAAAACCCTAAAGAGCCCTTCTACTTTGACCTATAGGCACACTGAGTCAGGGTCACTTGGCAACAAGCTATCCCCCTAAGAGACCGCGTTCTCGCACTATGTGAGTATAAGCTTCACAAAACCAGGAAATCTGATTCTTCCTCTGAGGGCTGACAAACAACAAGCATGTAAACAAAAAAAATACACACTCGCAAAATGTGTAAACTGCCAAGAAGGAGAAGATCGAATTATGAAGACATACAATAATGCAGGAAGCCCCCAGTGCAGTGCGGACAGTTAAGGAAAGTACCTAAATGAAAAGGAGCTGGCTGACAAGCTCTAAGTCTCTTGAAGCCTTAGTTTCCCCATACGGGTGGTGGGGATCACAGTCTGGGTACCTGCTATGGGAACAGCACACAGTAGGACCTGTGACTCAAGCCTCCAGCCCATGGTCTAGCCTCTGAGCCTGGTACTGCCCTTAATTGGCTTTTGTCCTCCCCTCTCTCTCCTCAACAGCTGGGACTGGCTGTGCCAGGGCCAGCCTGAGGGGCGGGAGCTGAAATCACAGGGCCTTTGACTCCCTGAACCCACTCTGGGAAGAATGAGGGCAGCCTGGCTGGGTGAGAGGGGACAGTATGTTCAGGGCTAGGACTGGACTGCTGGGTCTAAGGGAGGAGGAGGCTGGGGGCCTAGACTCCTGGGCCTGAGGGAAGAGGGCTGGGGGCCTGAATTCCTAGGTCTGAGTGGACTTCCAGGCCTGAGGGATGAGGGGGCTAGGGCCTGGACTTCTAGGTTCTAAGGAAATCCTAGGCATGGTCTCCCACTGAGCTGGGCTGGGAGTAGGCAGAGGGGGCAGGGAGTTGGGCTCTGGGTTCTGTTTACAGCACGTGGTTCTCCCTGTCCTTTCTGGGTGGGCGGTGGAGAGGGTGGCCACACCCTGGACAGACAAGGCCCCTCCCCTGGTCTTATCACCCCAGGCTACTCCTGGCACTAGCCACAGTCCACAGTCCCTGTCCCGGGAGCTTGGAAGAAACCTGGGAAGGGTGAGTGCACAGCCAGCTGAGAGACAGGAATGGCCGCTGCGTCCCTCAAGGCCGCCATGGGGAGGAGCACAGGGATCCTAGGCAAGGCTCAAAGAGCATGGAATCTCGGGGCAGAGGACAAGGGGAGTTTGTTCGGGACCTGAGTAACTGGCATCTGAGAAACGGGGTGACCGGATGAGGGTCAGGGCAAGGTTCAGTCCGAGCTCCAACAGCTGACTTCCTGCCTCTGAGCCTCAGTTTCCTCTCCTCTAAAATGGGGATGCTCCCAATAAGAGTTGAGATCTGAACCTAGACAACCTGGGTCTCAGAGGGTTCGTAAGGATTAAATGAGCAAACACACAGAAAGCTCTTTACACGGAGTAAGTTCAAGGTCAGTGACAGTAATGAATGCTGCTGTCCAGGTCAGGGAGTGGGGCTGGCCTTGCAATCTAAGACGAGTGGGCAGGCTCTGAAGGCCAAAGGTCCCACTAGTTCCTAGGACCCCAGCATGGAGGGAGCTGCGTTCAGATGGGGTTCCACAGTCAGTCTCGAGGGCCTAGGAGGGGACGGGCAGGACTCAGTCCTCAGTTTTCAGTAGAGGGTTCAGGAAAGGAGTCCGGCTTGGCAATAGGGTCCTGAGGCATCACCAGGTGGATGGGAATGGATTGGCTGGGGCCTGAGCCCTCCCAAATTTTGGTGGAGGGGCAGGGTGAGTGTGAGATAGTTGGGACCTGAAGAAAGATGGAACGGCAGCCCCGAACTCCCGGCTCCTAAGAGAGGAGAGTCAGTGGGGACAGATGCCTAGAACGAACAAAGACCAGATCTTGGGAGCAGACTCCATAAGTCACACTACAGGGCCTCCCACCACCATAGCAGCTTCTTCCACGTCAGTTATAACCTGGCTGAACTGGAGGCCTACCTGGCTGTCCTCACCCAGCTCTGAGGTTTGGCTTACTATGCCCAGCACATAAGCCAGGTACAGCAAGTCCCAAACAGAGAGAACAGGGCTGAGAGCTCGAACTTGTGGCTCCTTGGGAGGAAAGGGGCTGGGAAACTGGACACGGGGGTCTGAGGGAGGAGGAGGCTGGGGTCTGGAGTCCTAGGTCTGAGGAAGGAGGAGGCTAGGAAGCTAGACGTCTGGGTCTGAGAGAGGAGGGGGTCGGGGGGCCTGAGGGGTCAGGGCCTGGGCTCCAGCCCTACCTAACAGGTTTCCCTACCTGTCCACAGCCTCCCGACTAACACACGGCATGGATCTGCACACCATGACGCAGTCGCTGGTGGCTCTGGCAGAGGACAATATGGCTTTCTTCTCCAGCCAGGGCCCAGGGGAGACAACACGGAGGCTACTGGGCGTCTTTGCAGGTGTGCGGGAGCAGGCACTGGGGGTAGAGCCAATCCTGGGCCGCCTGCTGGGCGTAGCTCACCTCTTTGACCTGGACTCAGAGACACCTGCCAACGGATATCGCAGCCTCGTTCACACCACCCGCTGCTGCCTGGCCCACCTTCTCCATAAATCACGCTACGTGGCCTCCAACCGCCGCAGCATCTTCTTCCGTGCCAGCCACAACCTGGCTGAACTGGAGGCCTACTTGGTTGCCCTCACCCAGCTCCGAGCTCTGGCTTACTATGCCCAGCGTCTGCTGGCCATCAACCAGCCTGGGGGACTCTTCTTTGAGGGAGAAGAGGGCTTCAGTGCCGAATTCCTGCAAGAGTATGTCACATTGCACAAGGGCTGCTTTTATGGCCGCTGCCTGGGCTTCCAGGTGAGCCCCCACTGGGCCCATGGTGCAGGTCCCTGGTGGTCCCTAACCTGGTCAGATAGTGGGAGTCACCATGATTGGAAACAGCAAGGGGAAGCTGGGGCTCTGAGTGAGATACATACAACAGGAGTCTCAAACTCATGACCTCTGGGCCGAATCTACCTACTGCATCCTGGGCAAGGCAGAAAGCTGTCCAAAACAGAAAATGCAAATATTTTTCACTAATAGAGAACAATTAGAGTCCTGGTATGGCGCTGTAGGATAAAGCATTAGACCACAAGGTCAGTTTGAACCATATGATCAGTGGTTCAAGCTCACTAACTCCCCCTTGGGAACCCTATATAGGGTTGCTATGAGTCGGAACTGCCTCGACAGCACTTAAAAACAATAGAGAACAATAGAAAAGTGCGAAGATTGCAGTTTATCAAAGACAGAAAACTTGCTAGACCTGGAAAAACAAGGTAGTTCCGGCAAGTTCCGGCTCTTCCAGGTTTCATTCTAGTTAAGCGAAGTTTAACTTAAATAGCTTTTCTTTTGTTTCCAGTCTTGAGTCTCACTAGCTACTGTCATACACTCAGTAGATCTACTCTGTGTTTCATGTTCCCTACCTGGTCCCTGAAGTCTTTTGAGTTTGAGACCTCTTGTTGTTAAGTGCCATCAAGTCAGTTCCAACTCTTAGCCACCCTGTATAGAGTTTCCATGGAGTGGCTGATGGGTTTGAACCACCAACCTTGCAGTGTTTATCCTTCAGTGTCATTATCAGGACTCCTTGAGACAGACCCTTGTTGTTGTTAAGTGCTGTTGAGTTGGTTCTAACTCATAGCCACCCTGTATAGGGTTTCCATGGAATAGCTGGTGGCTTTGAACCGCCCACCTTGCAGTTAGCAGTCCGGTGTTTCTCCTACAGTGCCACATAAGGACTTCTTGAGAGTCATAGGAGGAATCAATATTGTTCTCAAAGGCAGACTCTTACAGTTGTCCCGGACCATTGGAGTCAGGAGAGCAAAGGACACCGTTCCGTTAGCCCTGCTTTACAGAAAAGGGAGAGGAGGGTCAAGGAGAGGGGCTGCGCTTTGGCTACGCTGGGCCTGAGGCTCTGTATGTAGTCCCAGAATTTCCAGGCTGGGAAGGAGGGGTAATAGTGAGGAAGACATGGGTCAGGCATCCGGTCCCCCAGCTGCAGGCTTTCTCCCACCCTCTTGGCTATAGCTCCTCTCAGCACTGAAGGTGAGGCCATGCCCCAAAGCCCACGGGAGCTGGGTGGGAAATGATTGAAGGTCTCAGAGAATTAGGAGTCCTGCAGACAGACTCAGAGCAGAGACCCAACTTGCCCCTCTCAGGGGTCCCTGCCAATTCTGGCAGCCCACCATGCCTCAGGGAAGCCCAGCTGGAGTCTCTTGAGTTGGGTGACCCTGAGGCTGTTCCTGACCCTCTCAGGGCCTCCACCTCTCTCCCCCAACCCTCCACCCCTGTGACATCTAAACTTGACAGTCTCTTAATACACCATTCCACCCAGTCTCTCCCCAATTCCCTGTGGGCCACCCTATCCTCTGGAATCACACCCAAGCATTCCAAGGAACCTCTCCTCACCCGGACTGAACCCACAAACATCGACCAAGCCAAGCAGGTTCTTCCCCATATCTAGCAGTGACCTTGGAGCCCTGGGAGAGTGATCCCAGAGCCACCCGAGCCAGCATCCCAGCCACAATGGTCTGGCACTTGTCCCACTCTCTGGCCCACTGGGGCAGTAGCCAGGGTCAGGGCCACGCCTCGTGCTGCTCTGAGGCCCTGCTGTGTAGTGTTGCCGGCCAGCCTCCCCTCTAAAATGTCAACCTCCAGGAGAACAGAAGCCTCCACAGTCTCCCCACCCAGCGCCCAGCGCACAGTAGAACGGGAAGACCATCTGTGCTGGAGTCTCGCCTGGGCTCTGCTTTAACTGCCCCGCCTCAGCTCTGGTAGCTTATGTCGGATATTATCTGTTGGACTCCCCACTTTCCTTGATTTCCTCATCTGTCCCCCATCCTAAGTCTCAAACAGCCTCCTGATTTGGTTGTTTTCCTGCCTCAAGGTCCAGTTCCTGTATGTCTGTCTCTGACAGTTTCCCCTTTGTCTGCCTCGTTCCGTCTCTGTGTCCTCTTGGACCCTCAGTGATTCCCCTCACCTTACTCCCACCTCATAACACCCCAGTGACTCCTCCCTACACTTAGAAAAAGTCTACCCTCACTCCTGCCCACTCCCCACTCACTCCGCTCCAACCACACTGACCTCTGGCATTTGTGACCTTTGCCAGCCCCAGACAACCTCAGTACCTTTGTGCTTACCCTGCCCTCTGCAGGGAGCACCCTTCCTGCACTTCATTCAGATCCCACTTCAGGGCCCCTCCTGAGAGACCCTTCGAAGTAGCCTGGCCCATACTTGTCACTACGTCCCCTCAGGGCCCTCGTTACTTTATGTGTGTGTATTAAGTAAGTATGTCCCTCTTTGTTTGCTCTGTCTTCCCTTCAAGACCTTCAGTTCCACCAGGATGCCTGCAAGCGGAACTGGTGTAGTCAGAGTTCATTAAGAATGTGCTGAATGAACAAGCTCCCCAACACCTCTGCCCCTCTCCTGTCCCTGGCTCTGGAGGGAGGTCAGGTGGTGACCCAGCCATGCCTCTTCACCTCTTCACAGTTCACGCCTGCCATCCGGCCGTTCCTACAAACCATTTCCATCGGGCTGGTATCCTTTGGGGAGCATTACAAGCGCAATGAGACAGGCTTGGGTGAGTCGGCTAAGCCCTGCCCCAGCCTCACCTCCTGCCCCTTCAGCCTGCAACATGGGACTCCCTGACACTCCTGCCGACCCCCAGGTGTGACCGCCAGCTCCCTCTTCACAAGTGGCCGCTTCGCCATCGACCCAGAGCTGCGCGGGGCCGAGTTTGAGCGGATCATACAGAACCTGGACGTGCACTTCTGGAAAGCCTTCTGGAACCTCACGGAGATCGAGGTGCTGTCGGTGAGTGTGGGTCCCGGTGACCATGGGCCCTGACACATTATAGGCAGGGAGAGTGAGGCCCTGAGACGCATCCAGACCCAGAAAGAGAGCATGAGGATTAAGTCTGGGGCTGGAGGGGAGGTGTAGCTTCCATCCAGCGCCCCTTGTGGTCCCTCCCACCAGTCTCTGGCCAACATGGCATCAACCACTGTGAGGGTCAGCCGCCTCCTCAGCCTGCCTCCTGATGCCTTTGAGGTACCTCTGACTGCTGACCCTAAGCTCACCGTCACCATCTCACCCCCACTGGCTCACACGGGTCCCGCGCCCGTCCTCGTCCGCCTCATCTCTTACGACCTTAGGGAAGGACAGGTAGGACCCCAGCCTGTCACAGGTAGGAGGTGGTGCGGGAGCCCAGCCACCCCCACCCCAGATGCCCATCCTGCTTCCCCATCCCCACTGCTCCCTACACCCCCAGCCTGTCTCTGGCCCACCCATCTCCTCGCTCCCCCCAGGACAGTGAGGAACTCAACAGCCTGGTGAAGTCTGAGGGTCCACGGAGCCTAGAGTTGCGGCCGCGGCCCCATCAGGCCCCCCGATCACGCTCCCTGGTGGTGCACATCCACGGTGGTGGCTTCGTGGCCCAGACCTCCAAGTCCCACGAGCCCTACCTCAAGAGCTGGGCTCAGGAGCTGGGCGCCCCCATCCTCTCTATTGACTACTCTCTGGCCCCTGAGGCCCCTTTCCCCCGGGCACTTGAGGAGTGCTTCTTTGCCTACTGCTGGGCCGTCAAGAACTGCGCCCTGCTTGGTGAGTCTTAGCACCCCTCTGCAACCCCCCATTCCTGCCTCATCCTGCTTCAGCACACCCCCTGGCCCTGACTTAGTCTTGTACCCTCACTTTCTATCTGCTTCCCAATCCTCTGCCGCCTGCCCCCACGCCTACCCAGACCCCCCAGGCCTGCCCCCTCCTCATTTCCTCTGCCCCAGCCTTCTGCCTTCTGTTCCCATTTCTCACCAGACCTTGTGCTCAGCCACTTCAGCTTTCTGCCTCTTCCCCTAACTCCAGCCCCGACAGCCCAACTCTCCACTTCCCGTCTACTTCTTAGTCCTGCCTCTCCTTTCCTCCGTTGTCTCTACTCCTGCTCTCCTGCAAAGGAGCCCTGGTAGCAGAGTGGGTTTGGCACTGGACTGCCAACCTAAAGGTCGGCAGTTCAAACCCACCAGCTGCTTGTTGGGAAAAAGAGGCGCTGTCTGCTCCCGTAAAGAATTACAGCCTTGGAAATCAATCCTCTGGGTCAGTTCACTGTCCTGTGAGTCCCTAAGGACTGCGTCCAAATTGACAGGATGGCAGTGGCTGGCTTTCCACCTCCCAGCCCATGCTGCAGCCCACTTGTCCACCTCCTCTGACCTCATTCTTCACTTACCAACATCCAAGGGTGGACGTACACCCAGAGCAGGGTGGCGGTGTGCTGGCAGTCTGAACCCCTCCTGCCCCACCTTGCTTCTGCCCTCCAGCCTCCCAAGCTTCCCCAGTGTTTTCCAATCTCTGGGCCTCTCCCAGCCTAAGTTTTCCTGCTCCTCTGACCCCTATCTACCAAGAAGCAAAATTCCTGCCTCGCTTGACCTGCCCCTAAAATTGCAGTCATCTAAATCATGGAACTTCGGGACCCCACGCCCCATTCTCCTAGCTCAAATCTCAGGTTCCTCACTGCCATTTCCCCCACACACACCCCCACCGGAGTCCTCTGCACCCACCCAGCAGTGACTAAGTCCCCTCCAAACCAGGCTCAACAGGAGAGCGGATATGCCTTGCTGGAGACAGTGCAGGTGGGAACCTCTGCTTCACTGTGTCCCTTCGGGCCGCAGCCTATGGGGTGCGGGTGCCAGATGGCATCATGGCGGCCTACCCTGCCACCATGCTGCAGTCCGCTGCCTCACCATCCCGCCTCCTGAGCCTCATGGACCCTCTGCTACCCCTCAGCGTGCTCTCCAAGTGTGTCAGCGCCTATGCCGGTGAGGACCACGTCCGCAGGGCTGGGGGCCAGGGGACTTGGATAACTGGGTCTTATACAGGGAGAGGGGTGGAGGGCCCAGGCTCCTGGGTCTGAGGGAAGGAGGGCTGGGAACCCCTTGTTCCTATTGAGGAACCGGATATTCTTGAGTCCCTGGGGGCACAGATAATCTAAAGTTCTGGGTCCAGAAAAAGAGGAGACCCACTTGACCCCCCACATGCATTCTGCAGGTGGGGAGACAGAAGAGCACTCTGACTCAGGCCAGAAGGCGCTAGGCATGATGGGGTTGGTGCGGCGGGACACAGCCCTGCTCCTCCGAGACATCCGCCTGGGCGCCTCCTCATGGCTTAACTCCTTCCTGGAGCTCAGCGGGCGCAAGTCCCACAGGACTTCCTCAGTGCCCGTGCCAGGTAAATGACACCATCTCTTACACACATCCATGGGCGACAGTCTGGCTCCCAAAGTGCTGAGAAGCAGAGATCTCCTTCTTGCCTCCACCCCAAACCCATCCCTCTTCCCACCTCCCACCCCATACCCATCCCTTCGCCCTCCTACTACCCCACATCCATCCCTCTTCCCTGCCACCATCCCATGCCCAGCACAATACCTAGCACACAGTAAGTGCTCTTAGAAAACGCTAGCACCCTAGAGAGGCTGTGTCCTGTGACCCCTAGGGGTCAACAGTTCTGTTCCAAAGGCATCAACACCCTTCTGGGTCACAGTCTGCCTGTACAGTTGTTCTCAGACCTTCCTGCACTGTGTCTCTATAGATTTATAAGGACCAGTGGGAAAACTGAACAGTGTAGGGCTCTCTGGTCCTGTATAAACCACCTGGGTCTGATTAAACTCTGCGTAACAGAGCTGAGGTCAAGCCTAACGCAGTCGGTCACACCAGGCTGGCCAAATGTGCATCTTTAACATCATTTGTCCAGTCACTCAAATGGAAGGCATACAACTGAAGAACGCAAAGCTAATTTGGGGAGCAGATCCATGTGGCTACAGGTGAAGGGGGTCCCTGAAAACTCATATGCCCCAGAGACTCATTCTCACTCGCTGTGAAAGTGCCCCCTTTCCAGCCTCTGAATCTAGTGGTCCCCTTGGACCACTCACACTTTCTAGGTCAAGAACCCAAAAAGAACTGGTGTGGCCAGGCAGCAGCTAGAATAGGGCCCCTATCTAAAATAAAACGTGAACACTGATGGCTGTTGCTGTTAAGTGCTGTTGAGTTGGTTCTGACTCATAGTGACCCTGTATAGGGTTTCAAAGGAGTAACTGGTGACTTTGAACCACCGACCTTGTGGTTAACGGTCCAGTACTTCTCCTGAACACTGATAGTTGTTGTTAAGTGTGACCCTTTATAGGGTTTCCAAAAAGCAACTGATGGGTTTGAACTTTGGGGTCCAGGGCATTATCCTGCAGTACCACACCAGGACTCCCCCAGCACTGATAGAGAGGAACTTCAAAAAGTTGTGGGAAAACTCCATTTTTTTTTATTCTATTTTTCGTTAACTTTTTAGAGTCCCCTGGTATATCACTACCCCTCTGAGCCCTCACCATCTATGAAAGGACAGAGGAACTAGCCTCCCTGAAGTGAACATTCCCAGTTTTTCCCACACCCTAACACAGAGGAGTCCTGGTGTGGCGCTGTGGGCTAATGACTCAGACTGCAAAGTCGTTTGAACTACAAGCTTGGTGGTTCAAGCTCACCAGCTGCTCCTTGGAAACCCTATACAGGGTCACTATGGGTCGGAACTACTTGATGGCACTTAACAACAAAACACACAACCTATGGGCTAAAGACCCTCTTCTATCACATAGCTCCACCTCCAAGGGCCTACTGTGTGTATGGGGTGGGGGGAGCCGAAGGGGAGGAATCTCCTCAGGAGAGAGTCTGGGGGAATATCCATGCCTCTACAGTGCTAGGATGAGCTATTCCAGGGGACTCCCCTGCCCCACAGCTAATGAGGCTGCATCCAGCCCCCTGACCCTAACCTTCTCATAGAGTCTGCCACAATGCGGCGCAGCGTATCAGAGGCAGCGCTGGCCCAGCCCGAGGGCACGCTGGGTGGCGACCCAGTCAAGAGCTTGACAGTGCAGGACCTGAGTCTCAAGGACAGCTCCGGGACATCAGACACCTCCGAGCTGTCACTGTCGGCTGAGACACTTGGCCCCTCCAAGCCCTCGGACGTCAACTTCTTACTGGGGTCGGAGGAAGTGCCGCCAGATGAGCCTAAGATCGCTGATGAAAAGCACACCCAGGACCTCTCCCACAAGGTCACCTTCCCAGAGGGCTTCCATCCGCGGCGATCGAGCCAGGGAGCCACGCGGATGCCCCTCTACTGGTCGCCTATCGCCAAGAACCCCTTCATGTCACCGCTGCTGGCTCCGGACAGCATGCTGCAGACCCTACCACCCGTACACATCGTGGTGAGTCAAAGAGGGTCAACACACGGATGGGGATGATGGAGGGATAGGTAATCTTTAGGGCGCAAGAACTGGGTGGGAGGACGTAACCGAGTAGAGACGTGGGCCACCAGGAAGGGACAATGTCTGGGAACTGGAGGGGGTCGGGTGTTTTGTTTTTGCTATCTTAATAAGTGCCTAGGAGACCTAGTAGCACTGTGAGTTAGGCGCTGGACTGCTAACCACAAAGTCAGTTCAAACCCACCATCCGCTCTCAGGGAGGTTAAGGCTGCTCCCTAAAGATTTATAGTCTCGGAAGCCAAGTATAGGGGCGTTACGAGTCGTAATCTATTAGACGGCAGTGGGTTTAGATTGAACGCCAGATGCAAAGTCCGTGGGCTTACAGTTAAAGGGAGGAAGAAAGGCCAGGCATGGTCAGGTCTGGACGACCAAGTTAAACTCATTTTTCTTTTTTTCCCCACATTTCCATCAATTTTTTCCATTCTCCTGCCAACTCTCCATCTACCCCCAACCCCGTGTTAATGTGTTTCCCACTCCCTTCATTCCCCCTTGACTGTCGGCCCCCCATCTGGACGCCTCCGGACTACTACTAACCTACTCCCCGCCCCGCCCCCCATTCCTCTACCCCGCCATCCCTCAGGCGTGTGCGCTGGATCCCATGCTGGACGACTCCGTCATGTTTGCGCGGCGGCTGCGTAGCCTGAACCAGCCCGTGACGCTGCGCGTGGTCGAGGACCTGCCGCACGGCTTTCTGAGCCTGGCCTCGCTGTGCCGCGAGACGCGAGAGGCAGCTGCGCTGTGCGTGGCGCGCATCCGCCTAGTCCTCACCCCGCCGGGCCCCGCCGCGTCCGCTCCCGCCACAGCGCCGCGCACACCGCCAGCCTGAGCCGGGCCGCCCGCTCGAGGAGATGGGGGTCTGGAAGGGCGATACTAAAAGCCTCTTGTTCCCATCTGCGCAGGCCTCCGTGGTGAATGCGCCCCGAGACGGGCTGCGGGGACCCCCCTCGAGGGGCTCTCAGACCGTAGGGCACGGCAGGAGGGGGCGGGCTGTGCCTTAAATTGGGGAACTGGAGGGGGCGTGGGGCGGGAGCTGCAGACTGGGATCCCAGCCTAGGGGAGGGGGGCGTGCACACACCAGTCGACTGCACTCCATCACTGCCTTCTGCTGCTGCGACCGACCGACACGGGGGCGGGCCTGGCCCATCCTTGCTAGGGGTTGGTTTCTTTGTGTTCGGGTTTTTTGTTTGGTTTGTTTTTGTTTGTTTCTTTCTTTCTTGGTTTTGTTTTTGTAAATAAAAGGTATTTAACTAGTTTAGCCTCTCTTGAGCTTCTGGGTTGTCGCCAGAGGGCAGTGTTGGACTCAAGCTGCTGAGAACCTAGCAACTAGAGACCTTTGCTTGAGAGAGTGTAAGGTCCCTGGAAAGGAGGGAGTCTGGCAAATCAGGATTCCTGGAAGTACACACGCGCCCTCACGCGGTATCTATCAGTTAGAACACTTCTCCCTAGTCCCAGTAGGAAGCTGTTGTAAGGTGCCAATGAGTCGGTCGGCCTCATAGTGATTACATGTCCAACAGTCGAACACTGCCCAGTCCCGTGCCATCCTCCCAAACCTTGCTTTGTTTGAGATCCTTGTTGCGGTCATTATTGTTTCAATCCATCTTGTTGAGGGTCTTCCCCTTTTTTGCTGACCCTTCTTCACTTTACCAAGCATAATGTCCTTCTCCATGGACTGGTACCTCCTAACAACATGACAAAGTCTCATCATCCGCCATTCTAAGGAACATTCCGGTTGTACGTCTTCCAAGACAGATGTGTTCATTCTTCTGGCTGTCTACAGTATATTCAATATTCTATAGTATAGTCAATATTCTTCACAAACCATAATTCAAATACATCTATTACTTTGGTCTTCCTTATTCCTTAACCAGCTTTCATATCTGTATGAGGCAACTGAAAGAAAATACCATGACTTGGACCAGATGTACCTTAATCCTCAAAGTGACATCTTTGCTCTTTAACAATGGAACTCAGCCTAGCACTGGCCAGGGAAAGAAAACCATGTCTTGTGTTCCAAAGGCTCCAGTGACCTAAACTCAATTCCAACACCAGACCAAAGCTATCAGGAAACCTGACTGGTCACCCAAAAAATGAAGCACAAAACCAACCCCAGTGAATCAGAATCAATTCCAATTCACGGTGACCCCATGTGTTATAGGGTTTCCTAAACTAATCTCTGAGGAAGCAGATTCCCAGGACTTTCTCCCCTGCGCATTACTGAGTGGATTTGAATCACCAGCCTTTAGCAGGACAGTACATACTGTTTTCATCCCCCTAGGAACCTGCCCAACAGAGAGCCACACTCAGTCCTTCAAACAACATTCTGAGGGCTCGCCCCTTGGAAGCGATTCATACCCAGGGTTCCTCTGCAAGGGACTTCGCATCCTGGGCTTGGGGGTGGAAGGAAACAGGTTACCAGCCCCCTGGGAGCTCCATCTTTGGTCATCAAGGAAGGCTTCACGGAGGAGAGGATCGATCTTCACCTTAAAGGATAAGCACAGGTTTCTGGACAGATGCAGTTATGGGAGCCCATCAGGCCTGGCCAGAAGTTCAAGTGGGGAGAGGCCTGGGGGTCCTGAGTGGTCAGCAGGGGAGATCCCAAGGGTCAGGAATGTCATTTGAACTGTAACTGGGCATGTGGAGGGAGCTATAGAAGAGCTTTAAGCAGGAGAGGGTCAGGGTCAGCTGGGCAGTGAAAACATTTGAGGGATGGACCTGGAAGGGTAAGATGGGTGCTCTAAAGACAAAAGAGGCTAATGGCAGAAAAGACAATGTCTGATCTGGGGCAGAGGTCATGAATGCAGGAAGTGGGGGTGGAGCAGATCTCAGAGCCACATTTGAGGTTGAATGAACAGAATTTAATCAGGAAAGCTGGGAGGACCTTACAGGAGGGCAAGAGGGCCGGGAGGGCACCTAGGTCTGACTAGGGAAGCCAGTGGACCTAAAGGACGTCTTTACACTGGGAGCGGGAAGAAGGGATACTGAGGTGAGTTTTGAACATGGTAAAAGCAAAAAAGGTCTTCCTGGGACAAAACAGATGGACAACCAAGAGACAGGAGAATGGTTGGAGCTGAGGGTCTTCCTCCTTTTTGCTGACCCTTCACTTTAGCAATATCTAAGATCACACATCCTGGACTGCGTTTCTGGTTGGAACTCAGTCCAGGATTTCTGGTTGGAGCTGAGGAACCTGAACCTGTCAGGGAGAATGGACAGGTGGGATGAGCAGAGGACTGAAAGAGCTCCACAGACCATGGCTCCCAGAAAGAGGTGGGCAGTGGAAGGTGAATCCTGGAGGGTTGGGAGGAGAGCTGGAGAGGAAGGAAGCTCAACCAGGAGAAAGGAAGGTAGAAGACGGTAAAAGGGAGTTTCGGGCGGGGAGAGCGGTCAATGTCAGGTGAGGCCTCCAATGGGATTCTAGTGTGCTGAAGAGGAAGTGGGAGGTGAGTGATGGAGCTAGGAATGCCCCAAGTTCTTGAATGTAAAGGAGATGAGTGGAATTCAAGGAAGCTTCATACAGGATGTGTGTGCGTGTTTAAAATAGAGATGATGGAACATGTTTTCATGCTGCCAAAAGGATAGGGAGAAAGGGGCAGGCTTGCAGGGTGTACCCTTTGATTGGTGGATGACGCATGGAGGGGACTGTAACCATGGCAATGAAATGATATAAGATAGGATGAATGTAAAGCTAATGTTCTCCCATGTAAACTACCACATAATTCACAATAAAACATTTTTTTAAAAAGATAGGAGAGAGAGAGCAAGATATCCATCACAGAAAGGCAGTTTCCCAAGGGGATGATCAGAAGAGGCCCTCCTTCGCTCAACAGGTGATTTCTGAGTCGGGGGGCCTGAGGAGGGTAGGGGCATTGCTCAGATGTCTCCCTGAAGGCCCAGACCCACTGGTCAGAGTCCCATCTCCCCCTAGCCAGTCCATGGGAGCCATTGTTCACTTCTACCAAAACAGGTGTCACTCCACCTTCCTGTCTGCTCCTTCCTGTCCACGTCTCAGGAAAGGTTCCATTGTCCTCAGTCCTCCAGAGCTTTGAGTCTTATTCTGGGTCCCTCTTCCTCCCACAGCCCATCAGTTCCTAGATTGTTCTATCCACCCCAGAAATCTCTCCACTCCATTCCGTCTGTCTCTGCCCTGGTCCAGGCTCCCTCCTCTCCCATCTGGATCCCTACCCCAATCACCTCCTGGACTCCTAGCTTCCAATCTCATTCCTTCAGTTCTGGCTCTATCTCTAACTGTACTCCCCTGCTCTAAAATCTTCTATGGCTCCCCATTATCTCTGGCCCCCAGGACAAAGTCCAAACTCCTCAGCCTGGCCACTGGCCTCTACCCACATCTTTTCTCATCTTACAGCTTTGAACTTCTCTCCAATGGCAACATGGACTGGCCTTGCTCTTGGGCCCTTACACACAGGAAATACTCCTTCCTGCCTCCCAGTCTTAGTTCAGACCAAACACCCTCCCCACACCCTTTCCTGCACCTTAGGGCTAGCACCTCCTCCTAGAGTTGAGTTGCAAGGGCACCTCCTCTGGAAACCCTTTCATGATCTCGACAAACCCCAAAAAATACTTTCTTCTTGGCTTCCCCGCCCATGCACACCCCTGTCCATCAAAGTTAGGTCTATTCCGGGGTTCCTTGAGGGCAGGGCCCAGGTCTGACTCACTCGGTCACCACCATCACCCAGCACGGGGCCTGGCACAACGGAAGCTTCAGGAAATGTTTGTGTAACTGAGTAATGGGTGGGTGAATGGGTGAATGTGTGAGTGAGTGAGGGATTGGGGATGGGCGAGAATCGGATTGAGGGGATTCCGAGGACAGGAAGGACTGAATGCAGGAGTGAGCAGGGCAGATGAGGAGGATCAGCCTTAGGGTGCAAGGAATGCAGGGATGAATATCTAAAATTGTGCATCCCGGCCTGAGTTTCTCCAACAAAACAAAAATGGGTTTGCCCTATCTAAGCATCCCCCTGAGTCGCAAACCTCACCGCAATTCACCATTCCCGGTCCGAGCTATGGCCCAAATCGTAAAAATGGGCGTGCTGGAAAGGGCTTACCCGACCGGGCCCGAAGAACCTGTTCCCTGCGAGGCTACTCGGGCCTCTGCAAAGCCCAGCAAGTGCTAACACTGAATCTGACCGTGCTAGTTCCCCGCCTATTGGCCGAATGGCAGCGAATGGTGAAGACTGGCGTCTTCACCAGCCTATTGTTATCGGATTTGGTCTGTGGGTCCCGCCTGCCAGGGAAAGCGCCCTGAGTGGCCTAGGGAAGCAGTCTATTGGCTGGAAATCAGTGACTGACGTCAAAGATAGCTTATCGCTGCTAGACACTGAATGAGGGGGCCCCACCCTGACCCCGCCCGCGTCAGACCCGCCTCTGGTGAGAGGTAGGGGGCGGTAGCTGAGGGCGTAGTTGGTTACAGAATGGAGATGAATGGGGTTTCTGGAGGTACATACCTGGGCTGTTAGCTGTCCTGCTCCTTTGGTCCTGAGGGAGAATGAGGAATGAGAACCCAGATTCTTGGACCTGAGGGAGGAAGGGGCTGAGGACCCAAGAGATGAGGAGCTGGGGCCCTGGATTCCTCAGTCCTGAGGGAGGAAAGTGTTGGGGACCTGAAGGGTCTGGATCCCTAGGCAACGCCTGGATCCCAAGAGTCTTTGCCCAGGGATGACAGATTTGGGGCTCGAGATTTTATGGAGCGATTTATGAGATTGGAGCGAATCCAGCACCCCCAGACAAGCGTTCTCAACCCTAAGACGTCACGTGGAATACAGACGGAAAGGGTAGAGGACTTAGGGCCAGAAACTCTAACCTAAAACGGAA